AGAGCATCAAGTCCTCCACTGGTCGTTTGTTTGGCAAAAAGGAAAAGGGTCCGCCTGGACAAACTGGCAAAGAATCACCAAGACAAGGTGGGCCGGTTTTTGGCAGCTGTCCTAACTGCTGGGATTGGGAGAGCATGAGCTTTTTCCTATGTACCTGCCACAGGTGTCCAGTGCCCACAAGGAATCATGTCTGAGCATTCTCCAGACAGCCCAGTCTGCCCACATGTGAACCAGAGCAGAGCAGTGGACATTCATTTGGCGTGAATGAATAACCCTCTTATATGCTAATTTATACGCTTGAACATTTATATGTGTTTGCTCGGAAGCTTACACATCAGAAATGATTCAGATCTCTACCTGCAGAATCTTCTTCCTTTTGTGAAACATATAACTTTGCCATGTTAATTTACTCTAAATTTGGGGAATTTTCTTCTTTTTTGTAGCTGTTGTTTCTGAAACGGAAAACTCATCTCAGGATGCCTTCCAACTTAGCAAATTGGGAGGAAAGGATGAAAAAAATCGTCAACTTCAAAAAAAGTAAGCTTTTTGTTATTTCTCCATCTCATGAAACACTTTTCTGAGTTAACAGTCATTCTTAGCTGATTTTAAGTGTAATTTCTAGCTATGTAAATACATTGTCTTTTGAAAGATGAACCTAAAGCAGTGATAGAGCTTTCAGTGATACAAAGAGCTTGCTGCAGCATGCATGCCATAGGTTTGCCTCCCATTGACCTAAAGCCTGTTTTAAGCCATCATGTCTGGAGAACAGAGGACATTTGGAAATCTTGACTGAGTTCACACATGTATTCTCAGTCTTCATTTTCTGAGTTGTTTCCCAGGATAATAGAATGGGTAATAGTTAGGCTTGGCCATTTGAGCTCTGGCCGCTGAATCCTGGTTAATTCTCTAGTTAGCTGCGTGTCTCTGACAAAGTTACTTATCCTGTGCTTCAGTTTCCTCAACTGTCAAATGGAAGTTACAGTTCATACATCATGTGGCTGTTTTTCAGTTCAATAGAATTATATATGTGCATGTATATGTTTTATAACATGGACACAATTCCTAAATAAGTTACAATTATAGTCAGGCTTCTGAGACCTTGTTCTCTTTCCTGTTGACTGAGTGCAACCCTCAGTGCCTGAGTAAGGGCCCTGCAGAGGGTGTTCCCTTATGTGTCCAAACCAGGCAGGCTAGAGTACAGGCCTGCTCTGAGCAGGGAGCACATCAGAATCTTGGCTTTCCAGACACAGGTCTGTGGAAGCATTACTGGGACCCTGCATTACAATGCGTATTGTACTGTGTGTAAGAGACTCGAAACGTTTTTTAGGAAGTTGAAGGTAGGAATATTAAAAATGCAGACTGTTCTTGTACGTGTGAATGGATTGTGGAGCTGGGAAGAGGGTGGTAAAAATCCATTTTATTTCTTTGAAGCTCAACAGGCTCCCAGGAAGGTCCTGTGAACAATCCCAGTAGCAGTGACAGCAGGCAGGACGCGCTCTACAAAGCCCCAAAGAAGAAGAGCATCAAGTCCTCCATTGGTCATTTGTTTGGCAAAAAGGAAAGGGGTCAGCCTGGACAAACTGGCAAAGAATCACCAAGACAAGGTGGGCCGGTTTTAGGCAGCTGTCCTAACTGCTGGGATTGGGAGAGCCTGAGATTTTTCCTATGTGCCTGCTGCAGGTGTCCAGTGCCCAGGAGGAGTCATGGCTGAGCGTTCTCCTGACAGCCCAGTTTGCCCACGTGTGAAACAAAGCAGAGAAGTGGAAATTCATTTGGCGTAAATGAATAACCCTCTTAGGTGCTAAGTTATACTCTTGAACATTTATATGTGTTTGCTCGGAAGCTTACCCTTCAGAAATTATTCAGCTCTCTACCTGCAGAATCTTCTTCCTATTTGTGAAACATATAACTTTGCCATGTTAATTTACTGTAAATTTGGGGGCTTTTCTTCTTTTTTGTAGCTGTTGTTTGTGAAACAGAAAACTCATCTCAGGATGCCTTCCAACTTAGCAAATTGGGAGGAAAGGATGAAAAAAATCGTCAACTTCAAAAAAAGTAAGCTTTTTGTTATTTCTCCATCTCATGAAACACTTCTCTGAGTTAACAGTCATTCTTAGCTGATTTTAAGTGTAATTTCTAGCGATGTAAATACATTGTGTTTTGAAAGAATAATCTAAAGCAGTGATAGAGCTTTCAGTGGTACAAAGAGCTTGCTGCAGCATGCACGCCATAGGTTTGCCTCCATTGACCTAGAGCCTGTGTTAAGCCATCATGTCTGGAGAACCGAGGACATTTGGAAATGTTGACTTAACTCACACATTTATTCTCAGTCTCCCTTTGCAGAGTTGTCTCCCTAGTGGACAGAGTGGTTAAGAGTTAGGCTTAGCCATTTGAGCTCTGGCCGCTGAATCCTGGTTAATTCTCTAGTTAGCTGTGTGTCTCTGACAAAGTTACTTAGCTTGTGCTTCAGTTTTCTCAACTGTCAAATGGCAGTTACAGTTGTTCATACATCATGTGGTTTTTTTTCAGTTCAATAGAATTATATATGTGCACGTATATGTTTTAAAACATGGACCCAGGTCCTAAATATGTTACAATTATAGTCAGGCTTCTGAGACCTTGTTCTCTTTCCTGTTGACTGAGTGCAAGCCTCAGTGCCTGAGCAAGGCCCCTGCAGAGGATGTTCCCTTATGTGTCCAAACCAGGCAGGCTAGAGTACCGGCCTGCTTTGAGCAGGGAGCACATCAGAATTTTGGCTTTCCAGACACTGGTCTGGGGAAGCATTACTGGGACCCTGCATCACAATGCATATTCTACTGTGTGTATGAGACTTGAAAAATTCTTTATGAAGTTGAAGGTAGGAATATTAAAAATACACACTTTTCTTGTACATGTGAATGGACTGTGGAGCTGTGAAGAGGGTGGTAAAAGTCCATTTTCTTTCCTTCAAGCTCAACAGGCTCCCAGGATGGTCCTGTGAGCATTCCCAGCAGCAGTGACAGCAGGGAGGACCCACTCCACAAAGCTCTAAAGAAGAAGAGCATCAAGTCCTCCACTGGTCGTTTGTTTGGCAAAAAGGAAAAGGGTCCGCCTGGACAAACTGGCAAAGAATGAACAAGACAAGGTGGGCCGGTTTTTGGCAGCTGTCCTAACTGCTGGGATTGGGAGAGCATGAGCTTTTTCCTATGTACCTGCCACAGGTGTCCAGTGCCCACAAGGAATCATGTCTGAGCATTCTCCAGACAGCCCAGTCTGCCCACATGTGAACCAGAGCAGAGCAGTGGACATTCATTTGGCGTGAATGAATAACCCTCTTATATGCTAATTTATACGCTTGAACATTTATATGTGTTTGCTCGGAAGCTTACACATCAGAAATGATTCAGCTCTCTACCTGCAGAATCTTCCTCCTATTTGTGAAACATATAACTTTGCCATGTTAATTTACTCTAAATTTGGGGAATTTTCTTCTTTTTTGTAGCTGTTGTTTCTGAAACGGAAAACTCATCTCAGGATGCCTTCCAACTTAGCAAATTGAGAGGAAAGGATGAAAAAAATCGTCAACTTAAAAAGTAAGCTTTTTGTTATTTCTCCATCTCATGAAACACTTTTCTGAGTTAACAGTCATTCTTAGCTGATTTTAAGTGTAATTCCTAGCTATGTAAATACATTGTCTTTTGAAAGATGAACCTAAAGCAGTGATAGAGCTTTCAGTGATACAAAGAGCTTGCTGCAGCATGCATGCCATAGGATTGCCTCCCATTGACCTAAAGCCTGTTTTAAGCCATCATGTCTGGAGAACAGAGGACATTTGGAAATCTTGACTGAGTTCACACATGTATTCTCAGTCTTCCTTTTCTGAGTTGTTTCCCAGGATAATAGAATGGGTAATAGTTAGGCTTGGCCCTTTGAGTTCTGGCCGCTGAATCCTGGTTAATTCTCTAGTTAGCTGCGTGTCTCTGACAAAGTTACTTATCCTGTGCTTCAGTTTCCTCAACTGTCAAATGGAAGTTACAGTTCATACATCATGTGGCTGTTTTTCAGTTCAATAGAATTATATATGTGCATGTATATGTTTTATAACATGGACACAATTCCTAAATAAGTTACAATTATAGTCAGGCTTCTGAGACCTTGTTCTCTTTCCTGTTGACTGAGTGCAACCCTCAGTGCCTGAGTAAGGCCCCTGCAGAGGGTGTTCCCTTATGTGTCCAAACCAGGCAGGCTAGAGTACAGGCCTGCTCTGAGCAGGGAGCACATCAGAATCTTGGCTTTCCAGACACAGGTCTGTGGAAGCATTACTGGGACCCTGCATTACAATGCGTATTGTACTGTGTGTAAGAGACTCGAAACGTTTTTTAGGAAGTTGAAGGTAGGAATTTTAAAAATGCAGACTGTTCTTGTACGTGTGAATGGACTGTGGAGCTGGGAAGAGTGTGGTAAAAATCCATTTTATTTCTTTGAAGCTCAACAGGCTCCCAGGAAGGTCCTGTGAACAATCCCAGTAGCAGTGACAGCAGGCAGGACGCGCTCCACAAAGCCCCAAAGAAGAAGAGCATCAAGTCCTCCATTGGTCATTTGTTTGGCAAAAAGGAAAAGGGTCAGCCTGGACAAACTGGCAAAGAATCACCAAGACAAGGTGGGCTGGTTTTAGGCAGCTGTCCTAACTGCTGGGATTGGGAGAGCCTGAGATTTTTCCTATGTGCCTGCTGCAGGTGTCCAGTGCCCACGAGGAGTCATGGCTGAGCGTTCTCCTGACAGCCCAGTTTGCCCACGTGTGAAACAAAGCAGAGCAGTGGAAATTCATTTGGCGTGAATGATTAACCCTCTTAGGTGCTAATTTATACTCTTGAACATTTATATGTGTTTGCTCGGAAGCTTACCCTTCAGAAATTATTCAGCTCTCTACCTGCAGAATCTTCTTCCTATTTGTGAAACATATAACTTTGCCATGTTAATTTACTGTAAATTTGGGGGCTTTTCTTCTTTTTTGTAGCTGTTGTTTCTGAAACGGAAAACTCATCTCAGGATGCCTTCCAACTTAGCAAATTGGGAGGAGAGGATGAAAAAAAATCATCAACTTCAAAAAAAGTAAGCTTTTTGTTATTTCTCCATCTCATGAAACACTTCTCTGAGTTAACAGTCATTCTTAGCTGATTTTAAGTGTAATTTCTAGCGATGTAAATACATTGTCTTTTGAAAGATGAATCTAAAGCAGTGATAGAGCTTTCAGTGGTACAAAGATCTTGCTGCAGCATGCACGCCATAGGTTTGCCTCCATTGACCTAAAGCCTGTTTTAAGCCATCATGTCTGGAGAACCGAGGACATTTGGAAATGTTGACTTAACTCACACATTTATTCTCAGTCTCCCTTTGCAGAGTTGTCTCCCTAGTGGACAGAGTGGTTAAGAGTTAGGCTTAGACATTTGAGCTCTGGCCGCTGAATCCTGGTTAATTCTCTAGTTAGCTGTGTGTCTCTGACAAAGTTACTTAGCTTGTGCTTCAGTTTTCTCAACTGTCAAATGGCAGTTACAGTTGTTCATACATCATGTGGTTTTTTTTTAGTTCAATAGAATTATGTATGTGCACGTGTATGTTTTAAAACATGGACCCAGGTCCTAAATATGTTACAATTATAGTCAGGCTTCTGAGACCTTGTTCTCTTTCCTGTTGACTGAGTGCAACCCTCAGTGCCTGAGCAAGGCCCCTGCAGAGGATGTTCCCTTATGTGTCCAAACCAGGCAGGCTAGAGTACCGGCCTGCTTTCAGCAGGGAGCACATCAGAACTTTGGCTTTCCAGACACTGGTCTAGGGAAGCATTACTGGGACCCTGCATCACAATGCATATTCTACTGTGTGTATGAGACTTGAAAAATTCTTTAGGAAGTTGAAGGTAGGAATATTAAAAATACACACTTTTCTTGTACATGTGAATGGACTGTGGAGCTGTGAAGAGGGTGGTAAAAGTCCATTTTCTTTCCTTCAAGCTCAACAGGCTCCCAGGATGGTCCTGTGAGCATTCCCAGCAGTAGTGACAGCAGGGAGGACCCACTCCACAAAGCTCTAAAGAAGAAGAGCATCAAGTCCTCCACTGGTCGTTTGTTTGGCAAAAAGGAAAAGGGTCCGCCTGGAAAAAATGGCAAAGAATCAGCAAGACAAGGCGGGCCGGTTTTTGGCAGCTGTCCTAACTGCTGGGATTGGGAGAGCATGAGCTTTTTCCTATGTACCTGCCACAGGTGTCCAGTGCCCACAAGGAATCATGGCTGAGCATTCTCCAGACAGCCCAGTCTGCCCACATGTGAACCAGAGCAGAGCAGTGGACATTCATTTGGCGTGAATGAATAACCCTATTATATGCTAATTTATACGCTTGAACATTTATATGTGTTTGCTCGGAAGCTTACACATCAGAAATGATTCAGCTCTCTACCTGCAGAATCTTCTTCCTATTTGTGAAACATATAACTTTGCCATGTTAATTTACTCTAAATTTGGGGAATTTTCTTCTTTTTTGTAGCTGTTGTTTCTGAAACGGAAAACTCATCTCAGGATGCCTTCCAACTTAGCAAATTGGGAGGAAAGAATGAAAAAAATCGTCAACTTCAAAAAAAGTAAGCTTTTTGTTATTTCTCCATCTCATGAAACACTTTTCTGAGTTAACAGTTATTCTTAGCTGATTTTAAGTGTAATTTCTAGCTATGTAAATACATTGTCTTTTGAAAGATGAACCTAAAGCAGTGATAGAGCTTTCAGTGATACAAAGAGCTTGCTGCAGCATGCATGCCATAGGTTTGCCTCCCATTGACCTAAAGCCTGTTTTAAGCCATCATGTCTGGAGAACAGAGGACATTTGGAAATCTTGACTGAGTTCACACATGTATTCTCAGTCTTCCTTTTCAGAGTTGTTTCCCAGGATAATAGAATGGGTAATAGTCAGGCTTGGCCATTTGAGCTCTGGCCGCTGAATCCTGGTTAATTCTCTAGTTAGCTGTGTGTCTCTGACAAAGTTACTTATCCTGTGCTTCAGTTTCCTCAACTGTCAAATGGAAGTTACAGTTCATACATCATGTGGCTGTTTTTCAGTTCAATAGAATTATATATGTGCATGTATATGTTTTATAACATGGACACAATTCCTAAATAAGTTACAATTATAGTCAGGCTTCTGAGACCTTGTTCTCTTTCCTGTTGACTGAGTGCAACCCTCAGTGCCTGAGCAAGGCCCCTGCAGAGGGTGTTCCCTTATGTGTCCAAACCAGACAGGCTAGAGTACAGGCCTGCTCTGAGCAGGGAGCACATCAGAATCTTGGCTTTCCAGACACAGCTCTGTGCAAGCATTACTGGGACCCTGCATTACAATGCGTATTGTACTGTGTGTAAGAGACTCGAAACGTTTTTTAGGAAGTTGAAGGTAGGAATATTAAAAATGCAGACTGTTCTTGTACGTGTGAATGGACTGTGGAGCTGGGAAGAGGGTGGTAAAAATCCATTTTATTTCTTTGAAGCTCAACAGGCTCCCAGGAAGGTCTTGTGAACAATCCCAGTAGCAGTGACAGCAGGCAGGACGCGCTCCACAAAGCCCCAAAGAAGAAGAGCATCAAGTCCTCCATTGGTCATTTGTTTGGCAAAAAGGAAAAGGGTCAGCCTGGACAAACTGGCAAAGAATCACCAAGACAAGGTGGGCCGGTTTTAGGCAGCTGTCCTAACTGCTGGGATTGGGAGAGCGTGAGATTTTTCCTATGTGCCTGCTGCAGGTGTCCAGTGCCCACGAGGAGTCATGGCTGAGCGTTCTCCTGACAGCCCAGTTTGCCCACGTGTGAAACAAAGCAGAGCAGTGGAAATTCATTTGGCGTGAATGAATAACCCTCTTAGGTGCTAATTTATACTCTTGAACATTTATATGTGTTTGCTCGGAAGCTTACCCTTCAGAAATTATTCAGCTCTCTACCTGCAGAATCTTCTTCCTATTTGTGAAACATATAACTTTGCCATGTTAATTTACTGTAAATTTGGGGACTTTTCTTCTTTTTTGTAGCTGTTGTTTCTGAAACGGAAAACTCATCTCAGGATGCCTTCCAACTTAGCAAATTGGGAGGAGAGGATGAAAAAAATCGTCAACTTCAAAAAAAGTAAGCTTTTTGTTATTTCTCCATCTCATGAAACACTTCTCTGAGTTAACAGTCATTCTTAGCTGATTTTAAGTGTAATTTCTAGTGATGTAAATACATTGTCTTTTGAAAGATGAATCTAAAGCAGTGATAGAGCTTTCAGTGGTACAAAGAGCTTGCTGCAGCATGCACGCCATAGGTTTGCCTCCATTGACCTAAAGCCTGTTTTAAGCCATCATGTCTGGAGAACCGAGGACATTTGGAAATGTTGACTTAACTCACACATTTATTCTCAGTCTCCCTTTGCAGAGTTGTCTCCCTAGTGGACAGAGTGGTTAAGAGTTAGGCTTAGACATTTGAGCTCTGGCCGCTGAATCCTGGTTAATTCTCTAGTTAGCTGTGTGTCTCTGACAAAGTTACTTAGCTTGTGCTTCAGTTTTCTCAACTGTCAAATGGCAGTTACAGTTGTTCATACATCATGTGGTTTTTTTTCAGTTCAATAGAATTATATATGTGCACGTATATGTTTTAAAACATGGACCCAGGTCCTAAATATGTTACAATTATAGTCAGGCTTCTGAGACCTTGTTCTCTTTCCTGTTGACTGAGTGCAACCCTCAGTGCCTGAGCAAGGCCCCTGCAGAGGATGTTCCCTTATGTGTCCAAACCAGGCAGGCTAGAGTACCGGCCTGCTTTGAGCAGGGAGCACATCAGAACTTTGGCTTTCCAGACACTGGTCTGGGGAAGCATTACTGGGACCCTGCATCACAATGCATATTCTACTGTGTGTATGAGACTTGAAAAATTCTTTAGGAAGTTGAAGGTAGGAATATTAAAAATACACACTTTTCTTGTACATGTGAATGGACTGTGGAGCTGTGAAGAGGGTGGTAAAAGTCCATTTTCTTTCCTTCAAGCTCAACAGGCTCCCAGGATGGTCCTGTGAGCATTCCCAGCAGCAGTGACAGCAGGGAGGACCCACTCCACAAAGCTCTAAAGAAGAAGAGCATCAAGTCCTCCACTGGTCGTTTGTTTGGCAAAATGGAAAAGGGTCCGCCTGGACAAACTGGCAAAGAATCACCAAGACAAGGTGGGCCGGTTTTTGGCAGCTGTCCTAACTGCTGGGATTGGGAGAGCATGAGCTTTTTCCTATGTACCTGCCACAGGTGTCCAGTGCCCACAAGGAATCATGGCTGAGCATTCTCCAGACAGCCCAGTCTGCCCACATGTGAACCAGAGCAGAGCAGTGGACATTCATTTGGCGTGAATGAATAACCCTCTTATATGCTAATTTATACGCTTGAATATTTATATGTGTTTGCTCGGAAGCTTACACATCAGAAATGATTCAGCTCTCTACCTGCAGAATCTTCTTCCTATTTGTGAAACATATAACTTTGCCATGTTAATTTACTCTAAATTTGGGGAATTTTCTTCTTTTTTGTAGCTGTTGTTTCTGAAACGGAAAACTCATCTCAGGATGCCTTCCAACTTAGCAAATTGGGAGGAAAGGATGAAAAAATTCGTCAACTTCAAAAAAAGTAAGCTTTTTGTTATTTCTCCATCTCATGAAACACTTTTCTGAGTTAACAGTCATTCTTAGCTGATTTTAAGTGTAATTTCTAGCGATGTAAATACATTGTCTTTGGAAAGATGAACCTAAAGCAGTGATAGAGCTTTCAGTGATACAAAGAGCTTGCTGCAGCATGCATGCCATAGGTTTGCCTCCCATTGACCTAAAGCCTGTTTTAAGCCATCATGTCTGGAGAACAGAGGACATTTGGAAATCTTGACTGAGTTCACACATGTATTCTCAGTCTTCCTTTTCAGAGTTGTTTCCCAGGATAATAGAATGGGTAATAGTTAGGCTTGGCCATTTGAGCTCTGGCCTCTGAATCCTGGTTAATTCTCTAGTTAGCTGTGTGTCTCTGACAAAGTTACTTATCCTGTGCTTCAGTTTCCTCAACTGTCAAATGGAAGTTA